AATGCTGGTCACGCCAACAAATGAACATGCAGCCCTATCCCCACGGCAATGTGGTATACACATAAGACAATGGCCACTCAGAAGACAGTGGGCTTAGGAGGGGCGTGTCTCAAAGAGACAGGAGCATGTACAGCTTGTTTCAGAGAGAGGCTAAAATGAGGGCCTGCATGAAGAGCCAGTATAAGATAGAAAATTATTATTTTTTAAACTTTGAATCATGCTGCCATAGAGGAGTCACAGAACTACAATACAGGGCTGGAAATGCAGTATAATAGGTCTCCTGTAACATTTAATAATCAGCCTCTAACCTGACAGCAGAAACATCTGCACAGATTAGCAAGCAGCTAAAAATACATTTTTTTTTGTGATTAACAGACCAAATGGAATTTATTGTTGTATGTTTATCTTACTATTTAATCTACTGTACCCCCGTGCTATGAATCTATTACATTGTATTTGGACTGATTAGAATCTAAATGATGAGCTTTATGGCTCTTGGTGACCTGCTAATATGATATTGGTTATGGAAAAAAAAAAGTTTTTTTGCTCACTTGGTTTATATCTGGAAGTGATTTGTAATGTGGCATTATTGATTGGTCTGTTCAGACAGTATGTCAGGGTGTGCCCTCTTCATATGATTTTGCGACTCCAGTGAGTTTGCACTGCTTAAGCCCTTTTCTAGCACCTTATTTCAGCAGGGGCATTATGGTGGTTCATCAGAAGTGGGATTATTACACATGGATTTTTTTCTAGAACTGAGACAACACTAACATGGTGGCTAGACTAAAAGACAACCTTGTTGCTTGAACAGCACAGTGTGCCCTGCTTGATAAATCCATGACCACTAAAGGTGTAAACAACATTACACAACACAATAACAATCTTAGAGTATATTCATCCTGTGAAGAAAGAAGCATTTCTTTGTTCAGTCATATTGATTATCTACAGTACTTAGCAGAATTTTCTCTCCGAGATAACCATGTAGCCTATTTTTACTAAGCCAACAAATTCAAAAATTAAGACGAAAATGAAAATACTGTAACGCTGTGGAGCAGTGTGGGGTAGACGAAACAAACAAAATCTGTCTTTACCTTTTAAAGAAATTGAGTCACCATTGCACAAGCTAAGGAAAAGGTATGTCATATTAGATTTCATGCAAGAGTGTAATTTTTGTATCTACTCTATGGAAAGTAGAGGCTCATGCCACTAAAATTATAGTCTGAATGAACTGAGAAAAGTGGATTGTTCTTAATGGGATGGAATGTGTTTAATGCACACACAGTAAATCATGACATCCAAGGACTCAACGTTAAACTTTTTTGGGCCAGTGGGTTTGAAACTTACTGGCCCGAAGACAGTTTTTACTGGCCCTCCTTCCTAAATTTGTTATTTATCAGTGTTACAACAAAACCAACGACTTATAAGTTATGTTATACTGTTAACATGCATTGGTTTTTAAATACATCCTGGATATGAAAAAAACTAAACTAAAATGTAATCACAGTTAAAATTATAAAAAATAAAAAGGTTAACAAAACAATTTACTTTTAAAACTAAACATACTAACAGACTCAAACATGACATGCTCTCGCTCCTGCTGACAGCCATTTAATAAAAAAATGTACACAGAGCAGCGGATACAAGTCTCCTCCATCCTGATTGACAGGTCGCCATGGTAGTGACATGTCAATCACAAGGTAGTCCCGCCCTAATGCATACGCTGCATTGTCGTCTATTTCCCCTAAATGGGACCATAATATACTAAATGAACATCATGCTGTGTTGAAGAAGACTAATAAATCAGCTGAGAAGTAGCAACATTTCACCATTATTTCTGATGCAGCCGGACTTCTTTTTGCAACCAGCGGACTCGCCCCCTGCTGGCTGTTAGAGAGAATGCAGTTCTGTCTGCAAGATGTCTGTGAAGATTCTCAGTCATCCAGGTCATAGTTATCCAACGAAAGTTAAAGTCCAGTTGCCCTTGACTTTAACTTTCATTGGATTCCATCTGCATGGTTTCACTTTCGACCCAGAGGTTGCCCCATGATTGAGATTAGAGAAATAACATTTGACAACCACTCGTCACGTAGCTACAACTCTGGATTGGACAACGGTGTGCGCCATGAGCTGCAAAACAACTGCAGGATGTTGAGTTTTCTAATTTATTTATTTTTAATACTAATGATTTTTCTAGTACAACTGTCCCGACGTTACGTTTTACTGGCCTCGGGCCATTGGGCCACCGTTATTGTCGAGATTGAAGTGTGCAGATTTGTTGTTCTCTGTCTGATAGAATGTTTATGCTGAAATTAGGATATGGTTTAAATATAAGTATTAGTTGCCTCATATTGCTTTGGAAAAGCTTTTACCAGTTCACTGAAGAAAGATTGTATTGCACAGATCAGCATGTAATCGACCCAAGAGAGTCCCTCTTCCTCTAAGTCAGTATCTTTTTAGGGTTGCTAATAATTGACCATTCTCTGCCATGATTGATGTACTAAAGTTACAAGTGCAAGCTATTACTCACTATGTTATCTGCTGCTAGCTGTGCTGGCCCTGGCATTCAGAGTCCTGTGTGTTATTTTTTTGTACCAGGAAGAGTTCTATTGAGTGAAGAGCAGATAAGTAATAGTGTTTTATGGATTTAAACAAGACATTGCCTTTCCATTTGGGAATGCAAAAAACCTGTCCCTTATCTAACTGAGCTATTCAAATCATATTCAAAGCTCTGGTTTAACACCATAAAACAGCACAGTAATCCTGCCTAAACTAAATGTGCTCCTGGCACCTTTAAGACATCACATTACCATGTAATGTAGACTTTGTCACATATGTAACACCAAATAATTAGAAATCCATGGTGCCATGTGTTTCAATTTTTGTTTAGCAAAGTTAAGTATGTATTATGGTACATTTAGAAATGTGCAGAAATTCATAGGTATTGGTATAAATTAACCCTACTGAAGGTTGCAGTCTCACTATTAAACAGAAGCAAAGTGTACCACAGTCCAGGACTAAATCCTGTTGATTGCATTGTTAGTTTCCATTTTATCTATGCACACAGATCTTTGAGAGATCAAGTGGGACTGCATGGAAGGGACCTTTGCACACATTTGTATGCTCAAAATCATCACTTTGTGTGCAATACTATAACTCTGGCATTGTATTAGAGTCAGCCCCGATATGGGATTTTTAAGTCCGATACCAATTTTGAGATTTGAGATTTTTAAAATCGGATAGCCGATATATCGGCCAATATTGTTTTTTCCCCCTTATTTTAAGAAACGCCTGACATAAACAAAGATTATCCCTAAAATTTTGTTATGTTGAGACAATACCAAGATACCATGACATAATGCAGTATAAAAAGAAACTTTGAACAAAAGTACAACAAAAAATATTAAGGTTTTGATAAATTAGAGTCAAATAAAACTACAGAAAAAAATAAAAAAATATCTGATTTGTTATAAATTATAGAGTACTACTACTAATGGACATTAAAGTAGATGGTGTATTGTGGGGTCAGCAAAACAGAAACTGTAAAAAAAAATACCCATATACTACTACTGCTACTACTACTACTAATAATAATACCATATATCATCTTTAATGTCATTGCTATAATAATAATAATGATAATCAGGGTTCTCCTACATAGGCAAATAATATATATATTTTTTGTTATGCAATAGTTATTACCTTACATTTAATCTGCTACAATGACTACTTTCTAAAACATGCTTTCTATGATACAGTGACACAGAGAAAACACTTGTTTAATTAATCTAATACTAAATGACTGTCTACAGGGAGGACCTGCAACTTTGAGATTTCACACTAACGTTTCACATTCAAAAGAAGAGGTAACTTTCTTCTTGTACAGCTCACGTTTATTCACAACGCTCTGGTTTAATCCTTTCTGACAAGCAGCTCGCAGATTTAGAATACGTCAAACACTCTAGTTTAATCGCTCAGTAAGGTTAGCGCTCCACCACTGATAAACACGGCATTGGTTTTGTGACTAATTTAGCAATGGGCAGCAATAGCTGCTTTAAGTTATGTTAAATAATATTTAGAAGTAAAGAACTATGGAGAATAAATCTACAATCACGTCTGTCAGCGTAACGTCCACCACTCACCTACTGTAACATTAAACATCCTGCTGTGAGAGTCACAGCAGGATGTTTAATGTGCAGTGAAAAACGAGAGGGTTAGCAAGTCTGGTATGAATGTTTTCAGGAGAGTGAGAAGTGATAAGGGCTGATTTTATTATTATTTAAGTCATGACAGATGCCATGCCATCTAGGGTGTACATTTCTAGTTGTACTATGTGATCTTGTTTGTGTGTCAGACTGCGTATGTACTGTACTGTACTTTGTGAGCATTGCAGGAGTGGTATCTATGAGTGTTTTTCAATGCTGCACTGTGATATTGATATTGTACTGGGGTGGCAACAGAAACCTCACTTATAGACATCTCAAAACCTGGACAAATTGAACCAAACCACTGTCAAGGCTAGATTGAACTAGAGGCAAGTAATAAAATGTTTATTTCAATTTATTAGTGGATAGCCCCTTGAGATGCAGCATCTCGTTTTCAAGAGGGTCCAAAGACACACATACATAATACAACAGAGAAAAAAAACATAACATACCTAAGACAGGAAATACAAAAACACAGAAGAAATACTCAAAATAATTGAGTTACTTTAGTCCTCAGCACGGTACCAGCTCAACTTGCCTCTACTCTACTCTCCTTTTTGTGGTTTTCCATTGTGGATTTCGATAAAATGTGATGTGAAAACACAGCTGACTGCTGTACCAAAATCTGCAAAAAATGAGATGGATCTCCAGGAACAAGGGAGATTGTTTCAATCGCAAGTAGCCTTATAATGAAAAGCTTTACGTCCAGCAGCTGAGAAGATTATTGGTACAGTAAAGACATATATTGCATATCTCTAAGTGGATATATAGAACCACAAGGAATCAAGAGTTCTTTCAGATATGGTGGACAATCAAAATAGGCACATTTGAAAATAAATTGAAACCAATGGACGTCTGTTCTTGAATTAAGCTGAAGCCAATTTAGTGATTAATACATTAGACAATGATGAGTTTTTAAAGGACACCTCAGAACAAATCTACACAGAGAGTTAAAGACCACATGAAGTGGCTTTGCTTAAAAAGATTGATAAGATGAGAGCTAATCCAAGGTAAGTGCTTCCCTTAACTCTAACGGTTCTAAATGGAAAATGTTTATCGTTTACGTTGGTGAGTTCAGAGTGAAAAAAGTTCCATACATCTTCAACAAAAGGAATTAGCTGGAACCTGTCCCAATTAATAGAGTTTAAATCCTGTATAAAATAATCAGCATTACTATTTTGACATATTCTAATATATTGATTTTCCAATCAATTATGTGTAAATTATGTGATGCAAGCCTTAAATTAGGTGTTTGAATCATATAGTAAATGTGCATAAGAAAATTATATATTATAAAAATTATTAAGGTATATCTGGTATATCTATTAAAATGGCTATTAAAATGAATGTGCTTCCTTGGATCAACTTTGTGAGTTCAGTGTTGTGTTTGCCACCTCCATCTCATTTCTGGGACATAATTACTAAATTACTTTGGAATGGCAAGCACCCTGGTCTGAAATTATTCACAGTGCAACAAGATAGATCTGCTGGAAGACTTCTAATTCCCAACTTTACTTTTTACCATAGGGCCTTCACACTATGAATAAATTTGTTACAGAACTTACTGTCTCCACAGATTAATCCAAATACATGATGCTATTAGATTTCAGTGTGACGTAGGTGACAGATTTAGGTCAGTTAAAGATGACCTTGTAGGGAGAAACCGATAGACAATATGGGTTAGCACAGGGACAATATTGTGGACCATGAAGTATCTGTCAGACTCTATAAACAAAGCTGTCATCAGACATTTCTTCAGCAGACCTGACACCTGGCTCACTTTATTTTCATAACAGTCTGAACCAAGCATCCATATAAGACAACTTGGGAGTGAGAACAGGTTGGATAAAAACCTATACTCTTTTGAAGACTTCTCTATCCATTTTAATTTACAGGCTTCAACTTTTTATTCCTACCTATTGGCTCTTTGGCAGGCTTGAAGAGCTGCTCAAAGTATTGTATGAGACTCAGGGAACAAATTATCTCCAAATGGGTGAATTCTAGAGAAAACACATCTCCCATTACCAGTAAACTCATTATGATGGTCTGATATCAATGACCTCATCCCAGGTTTTGATTGGGCTGGTGTTTCGGTAAAGCAGTTATCCAGAAATCTTAATCATCAACAAATTAATTTTAATTTCATTTTCAGGATGCATATGACTCCTCGTAAACGTCACATTATGAAGCTGACTCAAATTGTACACTATGCCATATAGGTACCGGTTGGGTCCTTTTATCATATGATTTGGGAATGCCCTAATTTCTTGAAAGTGGTGAAGGAAAATCTCCTCACCATATTACACATTCCGGTCCTCCAGTGTTTTATATGACTTATCTCAGCCTTATTTACAAAAAGCCAAAGCGGTAGTTTTGGCCTGTCTGACGGCGAAGAAGATGGTCACAACTCGGTGGAAGCCTCCACATACGCTAACTCGGCAGCCATGTGTGCTTACTTTTGGTTTATCTTTATAATTGTCCACAGCACGCATCCATGGGGTAAAAGAGGAAACTATAAGACTTTGGGCCCAGTGGAGGATCTTAAAGAGGTGGTATTATGCTCATTTTCAGTTTCAAAATCCTATTTAGGGGTTGTACCAGAACAGGTTTACATAGTTTAATTTTCAAAAAACACCATATTATGTGTCATACTGCACATTGCTGCAGCTCCTCTTTTCACCCTGTGTTGAAGGCTTCGTTTTAGCTATGGAGTGATACATCTTGTCTCTAAATGATCTTTGTTGGGAGTTGCACATGCACAGTTCCTAGTTAAGGACTAATAGCCAAAGGCCGGTAATAGCCAATCAGAAGCAGAGAAAGGTGGGTCGGCGAAAAGACTGTAAACAGCTTCCATTCAGCTGTAGGCTACATGTTGCCGACCAGGTTGGCAATTTGGACTGGAGCAAGAGTTTCAGACTGGTGAGTTATTAATCTGTAACAAAAGTATCTTTCATCCATAAAGTTTTAACTGAGCTCTGTCTCTACATCAAAGGAACAACTTCATGTCCATTGACTGCCTGGAGGGTAGCTAGTGTTTGGAAGGGAGAGGAGAGGTGTGCTGCAGCTCAGTGTTTTGCCACCGGCGTTTCTGAGGGCGTGTCGGAGTAGTCGCTCAGCGAGCGTTATGACAAGTATTTTCATTGTGACGTCACAAGAAAGGGAAGTAAAGGCTGGACTACAAACGAGCTGTTTTCAGGCAGTTCAGAGCAGAGTTTTCTGTGGAAGATGGGAACTCCCTTTGGGCTGGACTTTGGGCTTTTTCACTTTGCAAACCTATTACATTCACAAAAAAGATATATAACTCAATAAAGGAGAGGGAAAAAGCCAAAAACCATAATACCACCTCTTTAAAGGCCACTTAAAGAATGGTTTGTTTTTGTATTACTTTCCTTTACCGTTGTATAGCTGACTGTATTACTTTGGTTCAAATGATTATAAAATTTGACATTATTCAACAAACGGCCAAAAATTTTTTATTAACAACAAGCATGTTTTTATGTGGACATAAACTACAAAGAAATAACATTGCATGCAAGGAAGTTTACCATGGCAAATTTAATAAAAATAAAATAAATAAAAAATAAATAGTATAGTGTGATGCTTTGCTTAATAAGAGAAGTCACTGTTACAGTGGAGGAGCAGGGGGTGGGTGGTCTTACATGTGTAAAACAACACACATGCCCTCTCGTGAGCTTGAAAGGTTCATGCATAACGATTAAAATGGAGGCAGTTTGCAAACTACAGTCTGTCAAGACTTCTGTCAGTAGTGAATTTCAACCTGTACAGTTCACATACTACAGTATGTGAGTAAACCTTTTCCCAGTGGACAACTTGACTGTCAAACACAGGTGTAACTAATACCAATAATGACGACTTCATCCCATTTAGGTGTTACAGGGCCCTGCCATTGTTCATGTGGAGTCTGGTGTTGTTTACTGACATGGTGCCATCATTAATGTTATCAGATTCACCTGTGCTTTTCCTGTTAGGAGTCATAATGACACCTGATACCCAATTTGAGTGTCTTCAAAAGGTTAAGCCATCATTACAATTAGGTGTGCGGCAAGAGCCAAAGCCAAAAGTTTCAGGGCAGGTCTCGAGTGTTTTATTCAGAAACCATGGCTGTGTCCTTATCCCATATATAATAAGCCTGTCATCACTGACATGTGTAGAGTCACACAGCTGATGTTTTTTGAATCTATGAAATGTGATACAATATATTGTGGGACTGTAAACAGCAAGGATTATACATACTATGGACACTACTTTTTTACTCCATGGTGGAAATTTGTTGAGTCCACATACTTTATTCTTGTTTTCGCCATAAACCTAATTGCTCATCCCTGGCAGGCAGATGTTCTCCCAGTGCCCCATTTTCTCATTTTGGTCCTTGGCCTCCTCTCTTCCACCCCATGCCCCATGATGGCTAATCCCTGTAGACTCCTGATTTGACTGTATTTCTGATGGAGGCTGCCAGAGTGGTTATTTTTACTCATGGCATAGCGAATCAGGTCCCTTGTACCAGTTAACACAGAGCTGTACAATATGTATATGAAGACATTCAATACTATTTAATGAAACTTTTATATTTCATTCTTTCTGGCAGTTATTGTTTGTTTAAAACAGTATTTTACTGCTGGACACCTGAGCAAGTAAACCGGAAAGACTTATCTCTTGACTGAGTGTCCATTGTTAAAATGGGCATGTGTGAGATGAAATGGGAAAGTTTTGGCAAGATGTTTGGACTGACTGGTTTGGATATCTTAAACAGTGGAAATGAGGTGAATCCACAAAGGTTTTGGTGTTCATTTCAGTTCAGTTCAACTTCAGTAGATATTGCCGTCTTTAATATTCTATGATCTCTTCATTTATTTGTTATCAAATATGTTATATAATATATGTTATTATAACTTTTTAAGTCATTAATTAGGAAAACTGTGTATTAATTAATTATTTAATCCATATCCAATTTGACTAGTTGGTAGAAATAGAAATAAGTTTCAGCATGAATTGCCTCTCATTGTCCTCCATGGCCAGACCCTGCTAGGTGGTCCAAAATTACCCTTGGGCAATCCAGCTCTTTGGCCCCCTACAGCACAGTCACCTGTTCTGCACTGTTGGTGATCCCCTTGATGCCATTTTGTTGGCCACAACACCAGATCTGTATCACTTCATGGCCTATTTTCACATCATCGGGCTAAGTAGAATAATGCAACAATATTTTGGCCTCAAAGAAGCAGAAGTGTTTACAGAGGATTCATAATTTAAAGGGTTTATCCTGTGGGGAGCACGAATGTGAAAATTTCAGTTACATATCTGAAGAACAAAAGCTAGAGGAAGAGGTTGCCACAAACATTTGTGGCAACGTGGCCAGTAGTGGATGATGATCATTAGATGATGATCCATTACCGTTTGTGCATAGAGTCTAGGGTCAAATATTTTTAGTATTAGCCAACTCAGGAGTATATGTGAGTAAGACTGGTTAAGACCTATCTAGTCTTGATTTTATCAAAATTTGTACGGGATTGACATATATACACACACTCTTCTTGTCTTCTTTCCTCAGACTGCCTTTTCAGACTGTGTCCTATGAACAGATACTCGGCACAGAAACAATTCTGGAAGGCTGCAAAACCTGGAGGCAACAGCACCACTGACACAGTCCTCCTCACCAAACTCCATGCAAGTGCCCTCTTTATTTAGTGTGTCTGCTCTTTGACTTTTGTTAATGGTGAAAATAATGGATTAGTGTATTAGTGAAATAAGGCTGCAGACTTGTATTTAAAAATATTTATTATATATATAAAATGTGTATGTAGCATCATTCCTTCCAGAAATAGTATTTGTGAAAAATGACTGCCCTCTGACAGCTGAGTGTTGTCTTGAGCATCTCTGTTCCCTGATTTGTGTTTTAGCATGCTGCTGACCTGGAGAAGAAGCAGAATGAGTCTGAAAATCGCAAGCTGCTGGGGACAGTCATCCAGTATGGAAATGTTATTCAGGTGTGTTCAGGAACCTATGAGATAAGGTGCTTTGGTGAATAGAACTGCAGCACCATGTATGACACTGTGATTAAAACAGAATTCTAGTCAATATCAAGCAGAGTGTTTTAAATAATTGCTACAGCACAAAGGCGTGTTATAAAGTTGCCTGTTGTAATGTCTTATCTTTCTTTGCTCATTGCCCAGGAATGGTTTGCACATAGATATGAGATATTCTGAAACCAAGAATGGACATGCATTCCTCCTCTGTGATGTACACAAGGGAGACGGTTCATACAGTGTAGGATGTCCTAGTTGCAATGAACTGTCATTCCAGTAATAAAGTGGGACAATAGGAAATAATTACCAGCTAAGACGGCGTGTTTATGTGTGTGTGTTTCATCACGGCAAAATGTGGTGCAGGAGACACCTGCTGCAATGGGAACTTCCACAGAGAAGTTTTGAGACATTTGCCGTTGGTGTTTATATCGTATGTCAAAATGAAGGCCGAGTTCGAAGAAGGGTGTCGTCTGAGCAAGGGCGCCAGAAGTAGCGGGGTAGGAAGTAGGAAAGGGGCCATTAGTCCCTCCACTTTACGCCCCTGGCCCACAACTGATCATTTATCTCTTGCCAGTAATGACACATTCTATATTCACGACCAGCCGTGTTTAACGTTGTACATTACTTGTATCAAACATGGGAATATTTTAGCAGAACACATTGTTAGTGTTAAAACTAACATAGGTTAAAGCTCACCATCTCACAATCACACATCATATATTATTCCAAATGAGGTGCAGACTCGCTGGTACTACCATGTATCATGCTGTAGGATTAAGTTTAGTAAAGTTGGCTGTGGTTCCCAAAAATATGTGGAGCATATAATTCCAGTGTAATTGGTGATAGATTCTTTTTGACAGGTCTGGGAACAGTTGATTAAATATGTGAACCAGCAGAGGTCATAAGAAGCACTTAAAGATATGAGATTTCAAGTACTTAAATCATTTTGAGAAGAAATAAAGACGCCAAACCGTTCCAGAGACTCCTATTTTCAGTGTTCCATTGGGTCCAGTTGTGCCAGTTCATAGTAGCTATGTGTCTTGCAGCCATGTAATGCTCTCTCTTGTTTGGCCAACAGTTGCTGCATTTGAAAAGCAATAAATACCTGACAGTGAACAAGCGCCTTCCTGCACTGTTGGAGAAGAATGCCATGAGAGTGACTCTGGACTCAGCGGGAAATGAGGGATCCTGGTTCTACATCCAGCCCTTCTACAAGTTGCGGTCCCTGGGAGACAGTGTGGGTAGAGTGGGATGTGGGATTTCAAGTTAATTATGCTCAGTAGCAGAAATTTAGGATGTATTTTTAGACTTTTCAGAAGGTTTGAAAACAGAAGTCAGATGGAGTTACATTTAGCTTGTGTTTATAAAACAATGAATTCAAAATATAAGACAACTAGCCCAATGTGAGCACCAGTTCAGGCTGCAGTTTGCCCTTCCTTTTATTTCATTATGCTCTACTTTCCAAGCAACTACAAACTGACATTTATCTGTGTTTGTGAGTTGTTTTTGGTAGTTGGACAGGACACAGAGTATTCTCAGCATCAACAAAACATTCTGCTGTTTGCTTTTGAGACAGGACTGAGAAGTGCTTTTTCAGACGCTTCAGCTTTCATGACAATTTCATTACCTGCCCAACAAGTTAAAGTTAAAGACAATGTTAACCCCTCCAGTCATGACTGGTTATCTACACTTCCCATGCATAATAGTTCTGGAAAGCCCTTAATGATGTTTTAGCACCATGATGGTTCACTTGCAGGTTGCTGGATCAATTACATAGATAATGTTGGACACCTAACTCTTTAGGTTGAAGACAGTATTATATAGACATATGTTACTGATCATTAGACCAGTTAGACCATTGATGTTTGCTGCCTATGCCTACAGATAATCTAATATCAGGGCCAGTGCTACACCTTTCTGTCTGATCAATTCCTTTCACACACATTATGGTCCACGACTCCCCCCAGTGCTTATCTGGAGACTAGCATGATCCATGTAACCGGATCTCCCATACGTACGTGTTATGTTCACCTTGTTATGAAAGAGAATTGCAGTGTTGAAGAATGATGGCTAATATCTTGGGACGTGACATACTTATGGTTTGGAATTTAAATAGAGTGCTAATTCCCACACAGTGGCCCTCAGATCAGCAGTATTTCATCTTGTTTAAAGATTCCCTGAATGAGTATTTAAAAGATGCTTACATTCCAGTTGATATTGCACTCTGGTATCACTTCTTGTTTCTGAGTAACACATTCCTTAGGATTGAATTTATCTAAACCAGATGCTCCTTTAAATGCGGTATGTTCTGTATTTATATTGCTCCTGCAGGTGGTGATAGGAGATAAAGTGGTCCTTAACCCTGTGAATGCAGGACAGCCTCTACATGCCAGCAGCCACCAGCTAGTTGACAACCCAGGATGCAATGAGGTACATGAACTCAGTAAATAAGACATAAGATAGATTCCATATTTGGTCATTGAAGTGGAATAAGAGGAAACTCTGGCTTAAAGGCCTGCATTATACAACAAGACATGTTCCAAGCTTTAGATTTCTGTAGTTTGCTCACACACTTCTCTCCTTTGTCTTTCAGGTTAATTCTGTAAATTGCAACACTAGCTGGAAAGTTGTTTTATTCATGAAATGGAGTGACAACAAGGAAACAATACTTAAAGGGGTAGGTATACTCATTGATGTCATACATTCTGTATGATTTATTTATATTTGTAAAAACGCACCTTCCTTAATTGGTTACAAAGAATATTATATATTACATATTATGAAAAAAAACTACAACATTAAAATCTCAGAATGTCAGATAAATACAAAAACAGAAACTACAAAGTAAGCAATACAATAAAAATGATCAGTTTTATCAGTAACACACTGTGCATGTATGTGTTTGTGTGTCTTTGTGTGTGATGGCAGGGTGATGTAGTCCGGTTGTTCCATGCAGAGCAGGAGAAGTTCCTCACTTGTGACGACCACAGGAAGAACCAGTATGTTTTTCTTAGAACAACCGGCAGGCAGTCTGCCACTTCCGCTACCAGCAGCAAAGCTCTGTGGGAAGTAGAGGTTAGCACGGCATGTTCTCCGCATAAAAGCTAATTCAGTTAATGGTGTTTGGCTGTCCTTGTCCTTTATTAACTGGATATCTAAATGTCTGGTATTAAGAGCACAGTGCCCTAACTGTGGAGAGAAAGCATACTGTTTTTTTAATATTACTTTAGTGCAACAGAAATAATCAAACCAAGAGAAACAAAATAATCCAGCTTTTTACCAGTTTGACATAAGATGTTTATTTATGTCTTCTTTTACATGTCTTTTTCCATTGCCATTGCCAGGTGGTCCACCATGACCCATGTAGGGGAGGTGCAGGCTACTGGAACAGCCTGTTTAGATTTAAACACTTGGCCACAGGTTGTTATTTGGCTGCTGAGATGGGTGAGGTGTGTGTCAACTTCTTTTCCTTTTTATCTCAAACTGTTAAAATGTCATACCCATGCATACTGTTTGCCTTTCTTACAGTATGTTTCTGACATAATAGCATTAAGTCCAGCAAAGCAATACCTGTATGTCTACAGACACATGTGTGTAGACAGACAGGTAAATTGGACGCCTTGTGCATTGACTGCAATTTGAAATGAATGATGCTGAGGAGGATATTTGACACGTTTCCCAGGTGAATGCAGACTTTGAGGAGGAGAGTGCTGAGCAGCGGTCTGCGGTAAGACTTGATCTCTTCTCCCATATGTGCATAGCAACATCACATGTGGTTGCCCCACCGCTATTGATCTAATCTGTTCAATTCTGTGCTGGGTCTTTGCTTTCTGCTCTAGGTGGTGGACTTTACACCCTTTAATTTCCAGGTACTGTGATATAATCTTTACTTGGCTGCAGCAGCCTAGTACAAAAATCATTGTCATGACTGTCAGTACTGTCTTTGCTGCTTTGTTGTTAGCAGCAGTAGCAGTAGATCACCACAGAGTGTCACCATGCTGTTCTCTCAGCTGATGTATGTCTCCCTGAAAATCCCCATTAGGTGGCAGTGTTGTACAAGCCATACTGATCCTAACAGGGATGTTCTATTTACCTGTAGCTCTTTATTATGTGCCAACAAGGCCCAATCTGTAGTGATGACTTTTATTTCATTAATGTGCACTAAGTCCGTCAAGATTTAGAGCTAATCAGCTTTCAATGGCAACTAGTAGGTTAAAGTGAAAACATGCATACTCCTTGGCATCATGTTTGAGGGTCGATAGCATATTTTATCAGTGGCAGTAACTTCCCTGCAGTTTGTAGCCAGTGCTTTACTCCCTCTCACTGCATGTTCTCTTGCTTTAGCTGGATGCAGATAATGAAGCTTTACGAGGTCGTCTGCGAGCTCCACAGGAGAAGATCATGTACACTTTGGTGCCAGTTCCCGACGGCATGGACATCTCCTCCATCTTTGAGCTGGACCCTACCACTCTGAGAGGCGGGGACTCCATGGTACCCAGGTATAATAATACAGCACACCAACAGACCAAACATACAATACTTCTTCTGGATTGCCTAGATTCATTTAAAATGTTAGTCGACGAGGTACAAGGTTGTTAATTAGTTATTATACAGCTTATATAAGGCTGCATAACAAAATAAAATTTGTAGTTCCTTCATGCTACACACAAAATATAAGCAAGTGTAGGACAAGGACCCTTTTTGTTAGGTATGGTCTGTTTTGTGCCGGCTTACCAGCTGTTTGTTCTGGTCACTTCTTGACGTGACATTCAAATGAGAGATTGTTGCCCATTCTTCTGTGTTTGGTTGGATAACAGATAGCAGGATAAGACACTGTTAGGAAGAGTGTCACATCTGTGCTGTGTTTTATTTATTTTTTCTGTTTTTTATTTTGCAGAGGTCAGAGACCAGAAAAGTTGATTTACTTCTGTGGGTTTTCATAGGGTACATTTTTTGGCTTCTGTGCCGACTTTTCCAGTGTGTGTGTGTGCATGTCTGTCTGTGTGAATTTCAATGTACTAGTCACTATTAGATGGCAGACAGAAAGTCCCAGCATGGAATGAAACAGGAAACCATTGTAATCAGGCTGACAGTGGGCAGACAGTGGGTAGTTTTCTAAATGCCATGCAAGATACTTGTTGTGTGTCGGAGTTAAAGCCACAAACTAGATACTGCATAAACACTGCATATGCCTTCACACACACACACACATCATATGGCAGAGCAGTGTTTTATCCCTGTCACAAACAACACATCAGATAAAAACAGAGGTTCCATTGTGTCACATCATCAGGTGTGTGCATGCGTGCTGCGGGCTACTGCTGCTAGAACCTCCCATTCCTACCTGAAATAACCCTGTCCCTGAAACTTTAGCCTGGCGACTAATTAATGCCAGGGAGAAGCGGTAAACAAAGGTAAGCCTGTTAGCTTCAGAAGGCGGTTACATAATGCCTGCCAAGAATATGGTTACAGGCTACTGTCACTAAAGGCCGACAAACCACACACACACACACCCCTACTCTTACACATGTGGAGCAGGTATGAAAGATGTAGTTGGCTCAGACTTTCCTATGTTTAGAGGTTTAATGTTTAATGGAAGAGAGATGATATTGTACAGGCCACTACTGGCTAATCTATAATGCCTCACACATGGCTGAGGAAGCTATTTTAAGCAGTCTCTTCCCTACCATCGAAGTTTGTTTACATGTGTTGCTCACTTGTTACAAGGATAACAAGTGAGCAACACATGTAGGAGTAGCAAGAAACTTAAATACCAATATACTGATTTACTACTTTATTAGATGCGCCTCTCTAATGCAATATGCAAGCCTATGTTTGTGATGCTTCGAAAGTTCCGATTCTGGTTGGCACATTGATTTTATAATCATGTTATCATCATTTATGAGGCCTTAGAAAATAGTGTTGGAGTGTTGGACTGTGTAATACTATTCTGCCCCTTGTATGTGAATAGTCATCATGTTCTATTAGAAGTACTTGTGGAGAAAAATACAGCAAATCAAGTGAAGGTTAAAAACTTGGTAACACCACTAGGTGGAGACAAATGGACATCATATTTTTTCTGTCAACTCTTACTATATGTCTTTGTGGTACTCTCAGACTACACTACACAGTCCTGTACCGGCAGACCTTTGAGACACACACTCACACACATGCCCAGTAGCAGAGATACAGTGGTGTATAAAATTGTTTGCCCCCTTCCTGATTTCTTTTTTTTTTTTTTTTGCATGTTTGTCACACTGAAATGTGTCAGATCAAACAAATTGAAATATTAGACAAAGATAACAGTTTTTAAATGAAGGTTTTTATTATTAAGAAGAAAATCCAAACCTAGATGGCCCTACATGGTTATCTCCAGATTAACTGTAAATCGGCCACGGTGCACTCTTCTGTACCTGGTAAAAAAGGGTCAAGTAGCTGCCGGGTATGATGTCTGTCAGTACATACAGCAGTGACACACCCCAGTGAGCATCATGGAGAACAACAAAGCTAACACTAGCTGAGCTAGCACTGCGGTAAAGTTCCACAAAAGCAACATGAAAAATAAGTCTCTGGCATCCAACCTACTACTCCCATTGTTTAGTTAGCTTCCAGTAAGGCTTAACTTTCACACAGTTTCTCTTGACTGTCACTCAGTGTTGTAACGTTGCCACGTTAGCTGTGCAAAATGCTGACTAGCTACTTATTAAACATTTACTCGCCTCCAAACTAACTGACATTGACCATGGTAAAGAATCAGCACAAATTGCTGCATCGGCCCCCATCCTCAGCGGGCAGAAGAGCTGAGTGGAAAAGGTTTATTTTTGATGGCATGGTGTGTGTGCATTTTACTCTGGACTGCTTTCTTAAGAAGTTCTCTGTTAGGTTGTTGTGAAAACGGGAGTTTTTTGACTTCCTGTGTTGTAAGTCTTATAGTCTATTAAACCATACAAGAAACAGAGTAAGAATCAGGAACACATTTGTTAAGTCAAATGTATTTGAATATTTTTATTCACGATCAGTATTATTTCTAACGCAATAAAGCCTATCACTCAAAAATAAAATACACCAGGTCTGCCTATGTCCCTCCCGCCCCCGAGAATAAAGGAATAAAAAGCACCTTTATCCTTATGAAAGTAATACCAGCAATTTTCCAATGAGTTTGGTCGAACAAGAGCTTATTGACCAACCAATCGACCGACTGACCAGAAAGTGTCAGCGCCACTTCCTAATGAACCTGTTAAACCTTAAACTCATCTTCTGATTAGTTCCCCACAAACACAGGTCTAAATGACACTAAAGCAATGCTCTGATAAGAAAAATCAGTGTCTCATTAAAGGGCAGTGTAGATTCTTGTTCACCTTGGTCAAGATATGTCCAGTAGTCTTTAGCAGGTTCAGCCCCTAAAGGACACTTTAATAGGACTAGTGGCTGTTGGCCATTCAGGTTGTTGTAGTGGTCCAACAAGTAACTTCTCCATAACTGGTCAGATGTTTGAAGCACAATGACACCTAGTTCTGTGCCTGGGTTTTTTTCATCTCAGACAATTTCCTCCGTTACTTCTAGGAGCTCCTATGTGAGGCTAAGACACTTGTGCACCAACACGTGGGTTCACAGCACCAACAACCCCATTGACAAAGAGGAGGAGAAACCTGTTATGCTACGGGTGAGTAGCTGATGGCTAGGTCAAGAGGTATGGAACTGCTGAGGTTTTCTGAACAAACATGGAAAAACATTTTATTTTTTTCAGATTGGAACGTCAGCAGTAAAAGAGGACAAGGAAGCTTTTGCTATTGTTCCGGTGCCGCCAGCAGAAGTGCGTGATTTAGACTTTGCCAATGATGCAAGTAAAGTGTTGGCGTCCATTGCAGGGAAGCTTGAAAAGGGCACCATTACACAAAATGAAAGAAGGTATGTAGGGAAAAATATTAACTTTAATTTAATTGCTACATTATTATGTGTTAAAAGATCTATATATTTGTAAATTTCCAATAGAAGGAAAACTGGATATCACTGCTCACTATAAATTCTATTTTTAAATCAGTCTGTAATGGTTTTTTGTTTGTGCTTGACATGCACACCTACATATGTACACTCTTCAGGTTCGTGACCAAGCTCCTGGAAGATCTAGTGTTCTTTGTTGTGGACATCCCCAACAGCGGGCAGGATGTTTTGGAGATAATGGTTAACAAACCTAACAGAGAAAGACAGAAACTCATGAGAGAGCAAAATATCCTGAAGCAGGTTGGTCTTAAACCTCAGAGACTGTAACTGCACTGATAGAAAGTATGTGATTAACTTCATTTTTGGGTATTAAAATTCCCCATTTCCATTTTAGATTTTCAAACTTCTCCAAGCCCCTTTCACAGACAGTGGTGACGGTCCTATGCTGCGACTGGAGGAGCTTGGAGACCAGCGGCATGCTCCTTTTAGACATATTTGCAGGCTTTGCTACAGGGTGTTACGCCATTCTCAGCAGGATTACAGGAAGAACCAGGTAGGTAGACATGAAAACTCCACTGTGACCCCTGATACTATGGCCTTTGTTCTTTGCAGTAATCATCACCTCTTTTTTACAGGAGTACATAGCCAAACAGTTCCGCTTCATGCAGAAGCAGATAGGATATGATGTACTGGCAGAAGACACGATAACGGCTCTGCTCCACAATAACCGGAAGCTGCTAGAGAAACACATCACTGCTGCTGAGATAGACACATTTGTCACTCTAGTGAGGAAGAACCGGGAGCCGAGGTGAGGCTTACAGGAAGGGACAAGATCTGGAAGATAAACCTTCATAGAACAAGGGGGCACTTTGGGTCAGATTTTTTTGTAAAAAACTCCTAAGGAATGTATTATATGTAAAAGTATGGAAATGTGAGCAGAGATATACAAGTGGAACTGCTTGTGCATGTCCTTGGCAGGTAATTTGCTGACAGTCCGGTCAATTGTCGGTAATGATATGTGAATGAGGCTGATCCTGAAGTTTGGACAAAGTGGGCCCTCACAACTATTATATAAACAGTACTGAAAGTGTGGGAGGAAAACAAGTTGTTAGTATTTTCCGGTACTAATTTTCCAGTCTGTAATATAATCTGAAACCATGCAAATCTCTTAACTCCCCCAGTGGCTATGGAAAAATAAAATTAACATATTGTAATCTGCACCCAGGTTTCTGGACTACCTCTCAGACCTCTGTGTGTCCATGCATAAGTCCATCCCTGTGACACAGGAGCTGATCTGCAATGCCGTACTGGACCCTACCAATGCTGATATCCTCATCGAAACCAAGTTAGCTTTGCATGTTTCTTAATTATTAGATTTTTTAGTAAAACTGAAAAAGAGCATATTATAAATAAAATGTATGCTGTTCACCAGATTGGTCCTGTCGAGGTTTGAGATTGAGATAACGACAAATGGAGAGAACCCCATGGAGGCCGAGGATGAAGAGGAGGTCTGGCTGTTCTGGAAAGACAACTGTAAGGAGATCCGGAGTAAGAGCATCCGGGAGTTGGCCCAGGATGCAAAGGAGGGCCAGAAGGACGACCAAGATGTTGTCAGTTACTACAGGTGAGGTATCTTTACACATATGAAAACACATGCACTGTTGTAAAATCATATCAGAATGATTTTATTATTAATCTGAAGAGAGTTTTAGTCAAAGTAAGGTAATATAGTGCACATGAATCCAAAACCACCAGGTGAATGAAAAACCACATGACATGATGTCTGACCAAACATCATACAGGCATATAGTAAAATTCAAAGATATTGAATATGACAGTAACTACATTTTGAGATGACTAATAATTGCAAGCTCACATGATATTCCCTGGCAGGTGCCAGCTCAACCTCTTTGCCCGGATGTGTCTGGACCGTCAGTACCTGGCTATCAACAAGATCTCTGGTCAGCTGGATGTGGATTTGATCCTGCGCTGTATGTCTGATGAGGACCTGCCCTTTGACTTGCGGGCGTCTTTCTGCCGCCTGATGCTGCACATGCATGTGGACCGTGACCCCCAGGAGCAGGTCACACCTGTCAAATATGCCCGTCTTTGGTCTGAGATCCCTTCTCAGATTGCCATTGATGAGTGAGTTCATCTCCTGAATATTTAGATCGACTTGCATTGTCATTCCAAAGATGTCGCAGCATCTCTTAGATGTGATTCTACTCTAAATATCCAGCTATGACAACGATGGAACCACCAGAGATGAGATCAAAGAGCGGTTCTGCCTCACAATGGATTTTGTGGAGAACTACTTGAGAGAGGTGGTGTCACAGAACATCCCCTTCTCTGACAGAGAGAAAAACAAACTTACCTTTGAGGTAATGCCTCTTTGTGGATGGTATGAACAGATGAGAATTGACATTGGTTTATGTAAATTATAAGTCATGGCTTTCAATGTACTTGTCCATAGGTAGTGAACCTGGCAAGGAACCTCATATACTTTGGTTTCTACAACTTCAGTGACCTGCTTCGACTGACAAAGATCTTACTGAACATTTTAGACTGTGTCCATGTCAGCACAATTTACCCCATCAACAAGTTGGAAAAGGGAGAGGAAACCAAAGGTAAATCAGCTTTAATGTACATTAGTACCTTGGATGATCATGATGGTCATCATACAAAGAGAGTCAAGATTTTCAAAAGTCATTTTAGCTGTCGATTACTTTTGCTTAGTCTCAAATCTTTCTTGCAGGAACATTATTCCAGGACCGATTTATTCAATTACATACTGGTTAACTTCTCATTTTCACAGCTATGTGCAGATACAGTGCCCTGCAAGTAATTTAAAGATAGCATGCACAATCACACCTAAATCTTCTTACATGAGTTTTAAAAAACAAAAGAATTAAATTTAGAAATGATGTTTTAACCATCTTACAAAGTATGTTGAAATACAGTTTCATTTTTCAACGGTTGATTCTCGGTGGCCTCTCATATCCAAATTAAAAACAAGTAGGATCATTCCACACAAATTTTCATAATTTCTGCAGATTTGAATGTTATTATTGGTCTGGGGTTTTTTTTTGTTTGTTTGTTTGTTTGTTTGTTTGTTTTGCATGTACTGTAGCTGGCAGTAATGTGATGAAGTCCATTCATGGAGTCGGGGAGTTGATGACCCAGGTAGTGCTGCGAGGAGGTGGCTTGTTGCCCGCCACACCAACTCATCAGCCGGAGGGAGATGTGGTTAAAACACAGACTGAACCAGAGAGGGAAGACATCATGGTCATGGACACAAAGCTCAAGGTCATTGAGATTCTACAGGTAGGACATCAGGACACTGGTTCTTTCTTCATAACAAACACTTTGTTTTTTTAATTTATATCGGATCTTGTTGTCTTTTCTTTTAGTTCATTTTGAATGTACGGCTAGACTACAGGATCTCCTGCCTGCTTTGTATTTTCAAACGGGAGTTTGACGAGAACAACCCACAAACAGACAATGCTGCCAGCCAGAATGGAACCAATAATGTCCCAGGTCAGATGCCAGGTATGATGCCACTTGATTTAAACCTTTTACAGATGTTGTGGCTTGTCATAGCAGGAAACGCCTGGTATATCTATGTTCACTTTAAGGTGTGAAAGGTACTGAACTGAGCAATTGTTTACCAAATTTGTTTCACTTTTTCTGCTGTGACAAGTTAAAATATCCGCAGTGAAAAATGCCTAAAATAAAAAAAGGCAATTATTTAGCATTTTGTTTCATATTAATTTTGAAATAGATTTTTTTTTTTTAATTGCTTTGAATATTTTTAATAACTCTAGGAAATCTTGACTTTGAGAACATTGAAGAACAGGCAGAGGGGATTTTTGGAGGAAGGTAATCCAATGCTTGCTTGTCTTTCCTAAAGCTATTATAAAGCAAGAGGAAGCAAGAGAAAGGTCATGTAATTTCTGTTCCAATTACATTTTAGTGAGGAGAACACTCCACTGGACCTGGATGACCACGGTGGTCGTACCTTTCTAAGGGTCCTGCTGCACTTGACCATGCATGATTATCCTCCTCTCGTGTCTGGAGCGCTTCACCTGCTCTTCAGACACTTCAGCCAGAGGCAGGAGGTCCTCATGGCCTTCAAACAAGTAGGCCGCAGCGTTTTTTAATACTCAATTTTAATGTCTGACCATGCACACATCTGGGCTAGTGCTCATAAGTTCACTAGTGCAAAACCAGTAATTGAGAAATGTAAGGATTTATGAGAAGAAGTTGATGAAAATCTACACTCAATTAAAAATGTAGGTCCAGCTGCTGGTGACCAGCCAGGATGTGGATAACTACAAGCAGATTAAGACAGATTTGGACCAGCTGCGTTCTATTGTGGAGAAGTCTGAACTGTGGGTTTATAAGAGGCAAGGTGAAGATGGGATGGACGGAGATGGACCTTCAGAGTCTGACAATAAAAAGAAGGTGCTGTCTACGAGAACATGAAAACATAAAATTTGTTAAACTGATGAAGAAGGAAAGTTCATTAAAAGGCTAATATGCCTCAACAGAGATTATGTTGACTCTAAATGACAGTGTTTCTCATTGCTCCTTGTTTTACAGGGAGACTCACTTAGTTCAGACAAGAAGAAGACAGAAAGCTCCAGCAGTTACAACTACAGAGTTGTAAAAGAGGCATGTTCATTTATATTTGAATCTTTTATTTTCATGTATGTGATTTGTTCCCTGTAATTTAAACCCTCCTGCTGTGTGTGTGTGTGTGTGTGTGTGTGTGTGTGTGTTCAGATCCTGCTGCGTCTCAGTAAGCTGTGTGTCCAGGAGGGAAGCTCAGGGAAGAAGAGTAAGAAACAGCAGCAGAGGCTGCTGAGGAACATGGGAGCTCACAGTGTAGTGCTTGAGCTCTTACAGATCCCCTATGAGAAGGTACAACAGTGCAACTAGTATTTTATCACATGCAGAAGAATTAGAAAGCTTTGAAGCTTTGCATAGTTTTTACACATCGCCAGCTCCCCATTAATGTCATGTAAATCAAAAGGTAAGTCTGTCTCTGTTATCTTGCATTAGGGTGAGGATGTCCGAATGCAGGAGATCATGAAACTGGCTCACGAGTTCCTGCAGAATTTCTGTGCAGGGAATCAGCAGAATCAGGCTCTTCTCCACAAGCATATCAACTTGTTTCTTAACCCAGGGGTGAGTAGTTCAGGCATCTCAGATTTACTCCCAGGGATTGATTTCTACAGTGGATACAGTTCAGTTTCTTTTGGGAAAACAAATCTGAAATTTGTTTTTCCAACTCTCTCAGATTCTAGAAGCCGTCACCATGCAGCACATCTTCATGAATAACTTCCAGCTGTGCAGTGAGATCAACGAGCGAGTGGTTCAGCACTTTGTTCACTGCACGGAGACTCACGGTCGACATGTCCAATATCTCAAGTTCCTGCAGACCATCGTGAAGGCTGAGAACAAGTTCATCAAGAAGTGTCAGGACATTGTCATGGCTGAGGTCAGTTCTATGATATTTTTAACAATGGACAATGGAACATTAGTAATACGTACCAGGGAAGAAATAGTGATTCAAAGTAAAGCTGAAAGATGCAGGTGTTGGTAAAAGCAATGAAAATAGTGGTGATACTAATGGTAACATGAGCTTCTATGATGCTGACAATAGTTGGTGAACTCGGGCGAGGATGTCCTGGTCTTCTACAACGACCGTGCCTCCTTCCAGACCCTAGTCCAAATGATGCGTTCAGAGAGGGACCGAATGGATGAAAACAGCCCTTTAATGTACCACATCCACCTGGTGGAACTGCTGGCTGTCTGCACTGAGGGCAAGAACGTCTACACTGAGATTAAGTGCAACTCTCTGCTTCCCCTGGATGATATTGTACGGGTCGTCACCCATGAAGACTGTATCCCTGAGGTATGAATAATGACTTTTATTTATCTATTTCCAGGTGAAATGTGTCTTAATATAGGATTCAGAATCATTGTGTACTGAAACAAACGGATAGTGATTAGAGTGTGTGTGTCATTTAGCTTACTGAAGTTGAAATTAAAGCGTTAAAATTGGGTTAAAGAGCAGGCTGTCAACTTTTAATCCAGAGTGTTTATATCCACATTTTTAGGGGACCGAAAGTAATTTTATTATCAGCTGTTAGTTGACACAACTAAACTAACAAAAGAGATCATTTGGAAGAGATGTCAGTGCCAGTGAACTAGGCCTGAATGCAGCCTAATAATGAGATTAATCCATCAGATAAATATGTATTTGGAATGGTAGATACGTCAAAACAATCCTAGTTTACTTTATGTACATAAGATGGGTAGTCATGTATGCATGTATACATGTCTATGTACAATATATACAGTGTGTTGGACTTATCTATAATACTATTACTACAAGGGTGGTGATGGTGCAGTTGCGTGAGAGACCTGGGTTCAATCCCCCACTGTGACACATCCACCAATGTGTCCTGAGCAAGACACCTATCCCCTAGTTGCTCCAGAGGCGTGCAACCTCCGACATATATCCATATATAGCAATTGTAAGAAGCTTTGATAAAAGCGTCGACAAAATGTAAATACATTTTTGCAATTATAGATGTAGGCA